ATGCTCCACACCAGGGGCGGATACAGGAATTAATTTTAGGGGGGGACAAATAAAAAGTAATGTAGAATATGCTTTTTAGGGCGTCATGTTTAACCCAAAAGCCCCCATGGGCCCCCCTTTGTATCCGCCACTGCTCCACACTGTATTAGCATTAGAGTCGCCATAAAATCATCTCGGGATTTCAATTAACTTAATTTTATATCGGTAATACCTGAAAAACCCGTGGCCAGAAAGAAACTGCCTCATGGCGTAGGTCAGTTATCCAACCCTCTAGATCCTTCATAAGCGTTCTAGTACATGTACCTTTCCCATTTCTGATTTCACTCCATCTTTTACACAATAATCCATACTTCCGCTGTTCTTTCTGAATGTTCTGGCCTTCCTCCCCCTCCCCCATTCTTTCTTCAATTACTATATCTATTGAGGCCATTGCCAGGCTCAGCTTGTGCAGCCTCCGCAGATATTGTCCTGTAAGTCTGGTCAAATTGTATTTTTGGGGAAACTTCTGGGGTAGTTCTGATTTATTTTGTTCTTTATGTTTTTGGGGCGCTGAATCCGAATATGATGTTTGTTAATAAAATTTAGTGACAGAATATTGATAAAAATGCAAAAAATATGCAGAAAATTGCAATTTTTGCGGTTTTTTGATTACAATTCCAAAAATATAAATTTTTCAGAAATAACACCTGTATAAAAGTAGCCAAAATTTTCTACAAATTCAGTTTTTATATTTTTTTCGTCAGACAATCGCATTAGGTTCTAGCGCTGGTTAAAGATTAGCTTACAGTTAGGTTTTTTTAACGCTTCAAAATCTTTGTTCAAAATCGATATTTTTCATTGAAGACCGGATGTATATAAATTTCTTTATAAAAAAACTTAGGATGTTATTGCGCAGTGAAGCAATATTAAACAACCTTTACACTATTCCCGAAATGTTTTACGAAATATTTCGTGAAACATTTCGCAAAACATTTCTGGAAATACTTTCAGAAGTTAATTCAAATATATGACCGTGTTATAAAAATTAGTCCCACGTTTCCTGAAATAGATGGAGACGCGCCGTGATTGGTTTTTTGTTTTTTATTGTTAATTTGGGTTAACGCTAAGTTTAACGCGCAATAACATCTAAGTTTACGAAAAAAAATCGGTCTTTGGTTGAGTTGGAAAATATTTATACTAAAAATTATGTAGGGGTGGGGGTAGTTTTTATCCTTTCCGTACTTTTTCTTAGCGTTTGTAAAAGTCAAATCTTAAAGCAAAACATAGCTACCTACCCCAAATCTCAATTAGAATATCTCTCATTAAAATATCTTAAAAAATCTGTTTATTTTTTTAAAATCTTGTGTAATGAAGTCATTTTGAATTCAAAAATACGTTGTAGTTCTATGTCCACGGACTATTGGGACACGCTGTATAAATAACAAAAATTACAATTACCTACAAAACGTGTTGTTTTTATGGTTATTATTATGCTTCTTAATGTCAAGAGGTTTTACCGTGTATGTAACTTTCCTTGTTCAAGAAGAAGGCATACATTTTCACATTCTCTCATGCATAATTTCATGCCCTTTTTTATTAAAGTTTTACATATTGCCTCGAAATTTTTTAATCCCCACTTGATTAAATTATTTCATACCGTTAATAATGTATAGAAATTTTATTATCTTTGTATTTTATAATCTTTATTACATTTTTTTATTACTAAAGTTTCATTCAGAACCTTGCAATTAGTGGTTTCAATTATGTCCTAAAATGCTTAGTTTCGGAGGTACAAGGTGTAGAATTTTGTTGTGTTTCATTTTTATTTCGATTTATTCCAAATAATATTCTGAAGAAACTTCAATATTTGAATGAAAATTGGTTCCTAGAAGTTTTTTCACATGAGAAATTTGATTTTGTTGTCAATATGACTCCTACTTGTAAAGGGCGCCACCTACATATTTTTTTGACCACCGACCAGCAAACGTCTCTAGAAGAGACTATACTGGACGAAGTAGTGGCGATCGGATCGCAACACAACGATCTACAAAATGTGGGTCAGCTGCGTTTTGCGGGGATACACTTTCGGGTGGGCATGATTCTCATAGATTTTGTATCTCAAGAATCGGCGAATTGGTTGGTGGAAATCGCACTTAAGCTTTAAAATTGGCAAGGGCCGGAACAGGTTGCAGTGAAGGGAGAAAACATCCCTAAAGGGGCGGCCATCACGGTCTTTCTGCCGAGGAGCAAGTGGAAAGACACCACCTACCTGCTGAACCTTATTCGGGGTCAGAACTTAAATGTAAAGACATCGAGTTGCCGAGTCATTAACTCGAGGGAGGAGGGTCATGGTCAGGTCCTCACAATGGGAATTGCCCTCAAATCCAAAGAGGCAATAGAGAAAGAGGGACATATCCTCTATTATAGAATACCGGAATAAAAGGAATTAACAAGCAGAATGAGTGGGAAGGGGCAGCTCACAATAGAACGGAATGGAGAAGAATTGTAAAGTCAGTTAACAGCGACAACCAAAAAGTAAAGAGGCAACAAAGCAATGAGATTTTTGAATGTCTGGAGTGCGGTAGACAGATAACATCACGTATCGGGCTTTTCAGTCACATAAAAGCTCATGAAAGAAAACGCCTTGCGTGACCATCTTCTGATGTGTGTCAAATACTCGTCAGCGAGTAATGGCGGTATGGTATGGTATGGTATAGATACCGGACCACACCGGTATCAGGTCTAAGGAGAGACTACGTGGAGAGGTGGAGAAAATGGTTAAAGAGGTGGAGAAAGCACCTCACGGGTACCTCAACCGGAGGCAAGACTGTGAAGGGCACGGAGGGCCAAACTCCAACCGTGGAAGGGTGTGTACCCTCGGAGGAAGAACATCTGTTGTCAGAGGAGGATCGGAAATACCCTGTGCCCTCTACAACAGGGGTATGATGAGTTATAGACTGTGTAATGTCTCAAGGAAGCAGTGATTAACCTCCCCTGTCACTCATTCTACATTCTTCTACCTACATATTTTTTAACTGGTTTGAAGAGTAATAACTTTTCGGCAGTACCTGTATAAAACTACTGAGTAAACAAATACATATTTACGATGTTTTTTACGTAAAAAGGGTCTCTTGGTAAAAATTGCTACGAGTAATGGTTCTCGAGATATTTGGAATGGAAATAGACATGTCATTATTGACATAAACTAAACGTGTTGACTAAATAGTTATTAGACTGAAATCATAAATTTTAAATGTCTTTGTGCCAAAAGTTCAACAGAAACTGTTTTCTCAACATTTATTCGCAGAAAAATTTATGATTAATTAAAAAAAATAAAAAGTTCCCATATTTATCATTTCAGTCAAGTAACTATCTACGAGTACTCAATATTATTATTTTTTTGTCAATAATGACATCTATTGACTATTTCCATTACAAATATCTTAAGAACGATTACTTGTAGCAATTTTTACAAAGATACATTTTTTATATAAAAAATCACGAAAATGTATATTTTTTTACTAATGAGTTTTATACAGGTACGGACGAAAAGTTATTACTCTTCAAAACAGTTATAACACATGTAGGTGGCGCCCCCTACAAATAGGAGTGATATTGACACCAAAATCAAATTTCTCATATCAAAAAACTCCCAGATAGGTACCTATTTTCATCCAAATATAGGCGTTACTTCAGAAATTATTTGGAAAAAATCGAAATAAAAATGAAATTTCTACACCCTGTATCTCCGAAACTAAGCATTTTAGGACATACATTTATACGAACTTTTTTACTTATTTTTATCTGCAGAATATGTTGTCGAAGTTTCCGGAATACAGTTCCGACCATCCTGCATACTACTACAGCTTTTAACAGTAGTTTTCGAGAAAGTATTTTAAGACGTCTGGCTCTTTGATATATGTTTTACTATGCTCTCTGGAACAGCATGCTGTCTGGCTGCCGATACCCGTTGCGTTCACTACTGCGCATCGAAAGAAGATCCTATATTTTTTATTAATTTAGTCCTATAAATTCTAGTACTGAATATAAATCGAATATGTCTCCATAGCGCAGTGCGTAGAGTTTCCGACCACAAACCGATGATTCAGAGTTCGAATCCGGGTCAGGCAAAGACTTTTTTATTTTATTTTCGTTTATATTCTGATTGTAAAGTATTAAATAATTCTGGTAATTAAAAAAAAAACAAATATTTAATACTTTACTATCAGAATATAAACAAAAATAAAATAAAAAAGTCTTTGCCCTGACCCGGATTTGAACTCGGGTTCATCGGTTCGTGGTCGGAAACTCTACGCACTGCGCTATGGAGACATGTTCGATTAATATTCAATAGGTACTAGAATTTAAAGGATTAATAAAAATATAGGATCTTCTTTCAATGCGCAGTAGAGAACGCAACGTTTACCGGCAACCAGACGGGCCGCATGCTGTTCTACAGAGCATAGTAAAAGATATATCAAAGAGCCAGACGTCTTAAAATACTTGTTTTTTCGACGTTGCTAGCTATCGTACTATCGGGAAAGCCTGATATTTAGCTTATAAAACAATAAACTTTTGATTTCTAACCATATTTTCTCTTGATGGATGATAATCAAAGGCCAAAATGACATTCCTCACAAATTTTGAAGTATAATTAGTAGAAAAGTTAAAAGTTTTGTAACTTTTTCCACTAATTGAAAATTCCTACCACTAATTTTAACGTTCTGAATGCTTACATTCAAACTAGAGAAACAAACTTCTACGCTGATTGAAACCACTAATTTAGTTTTAGTTTTTGGGGACCATCCTGTAGATCCAATAAACATCCAAATACTTTTAAAATGTAGTATAAATAAAACTACACAAGCTACAAAAATTTAATTCCCATACAATTTACCGTTCTCTTAGAACAAGCCGTGTGAGAGGCGCTACTGTATGCAGATTAATTAATAAAAAACAGTGACAGTTAAATGTCAATAATAAACTGCGATAATAAATATTTCTATCTTTATTTGTTACAGGTTGAAGGTGTTTACTATATAAGGCAATCCGTAATGACAGATGGAGGATATATTCTACCAAGGTAGGTACGAATAAAATATTATATAGTAGGTCAACAATTACGAACAGAATAGTACAGGGTGATGTAAGTAAGACGAGGGAAGAGTTTTGCCCTATCGATATTATTACCATAGATAAAAGAAACAAATTTAGATTGGAAAGTGCCCATAAGGACAATGTAAACACTATTTGGCGCTATTCTTACAACGGTCGCTTTTGATAATTTTGGAGCGGTTCGGCTTTTTCCGGAATTATGTCGCCAAATATTACTTATTCAAATTTATTATTATTTTCTTTAATTTTTTTAAAATAAAATACAGTGTGTTGCATATAAGAAACTTTATTTTTCATACATAAGGACATGTATGAAATACCTACGAAACATTGGAAACCGACGTTGTTCCATGATTCACGATGGTTTTTGCAGTTCACAGTTCACACAGTTCACACAGCTTTATAAGTTTTTAATGCCACTTTTTCATAATAATTATCACGGGTTTGAGTAAACAAAATTTAAATTAAACTAACAAGATGGCAATAATTACTTTGAAAATGGAGGCTTAAACGCTTTTTGGTAGTTTTTCAATGAGGGCGGTTTAAATTTTAAAAGATTTTATAATTTTTGAACATTCTGACTTTGACAAGAGAAAATTATTTCTGTTCTTGTTGGCTGTTGTTTTTAGATACCTCTATAGCAGCGCTCTACAACGTATGAGCACCAAAACAATTATAAGTTTTTGCGGCAAGCCGAACACTCCAATCTAAACTTGTTTTCTTTATCTATGATTATTAAAAATTAAAAAAAAAATATTGCAAAGGATCCATAGCCTTTTCACGGCAATTTTTTTAATACGGATTAAATGAATAAAGAATTTAATAAATTGTGATTTTGGTAGAGTTGTAAATGTGTAGAAAAATATGTTATAATGCAGAAATTTAAGTCAAAAAATAGTTATACATATGTTAAAAACCACTCTGTATACAGGGTGTCCCAGGCTGAGGAGCGAGCATTAGAAGTTTCTAGAGAACCACAATATCTAGACCAACGATTCTTTGCACATCATTGTTTTACAACGAGATCTATCGATTAAAAGTATTTTCAATATGGCGGCACTTCCGGAAATACCGGAAGTTGGCGACAACTTTCTTATTTTAAATAGGTGCACCCATTTTTTATTACATACTTAAATTCTCACTTATAATATCACAAGAGCTTAAATTATTTACGGAAATTTTTTTGAGGGCACGAATATTTTGAAAATTATAATTTATATAATTTTCCTAAAATATTTGTGCCCGAAAGAAAATTTCCAGGAATAATTTAAGCTTGCGTGGTGTTCGGTAAGAAAATTTCACACCTAAATTTGAAAAAAAAAATATTAATCCAACCTTAGTTACATCAAATGCTAAAACTCAAATGGGTAATATTTCAATATATAGACATTGTAGTTCATTCACATTATGATTGTAGATCTTATGTTTACCTTTTCAACTGTCAAAAAAATTTCCACTAAAGTTTCGTGGCGCCTCGAAAAAATTTCCGGAAATTTTTTCAGTTGCCATGGTAACTAGTCAACATTAAAGCATGTTATTGGTTGAAAAGTAGAGGTGTGAAATTTTCTATAAAATTTTATGAATTTTGATATCAAACACTGTATACCTTATTAACATTAGCCGTAAAATATTTAAAATTTTTGGACGAAAAAAACTGCCTGTCAAAAATATGTGTATAGTCTAAACGATAATTTAGTGATTACCACAGCTACTGTGCCATAAAGAGAAGACATGTGGCTATCTATTTCAAAAATTAAATTGTTTGAATGTCATATAATAATGGCTGCAGCTGTCCTGGAATTGAGATATTAAAAAAAGTATTATAAATCATTTTTTTCAAATGCCAACCCACTTTTTTATTTCACTAGTGAAGAGGCTTTTCAATTTGTTACTTTTTGACTACAGTACGTCTGTCCGTTCTGCGGCTACGGGGTATTCGTGAGAGGGGAAACGATATTTTCTCGATGTTTTTCGTAAAAAATTAGACGACGCGTCCAATCAATAAAAATTCGACAAATTTGCAAGTAGCCAATAAAGTGAGTGGGCGGAGCGATTTGCGGTGACGTACTCGTCAAGTCGACGTATAAAATATATTCCTGTTTATTTAAATGTTTTTGTCCGCATTCCTTTCATAGACACCGATCGAGCAGACGAACTGTATACATGTTCCTATACCTAAAATAAATCGTTTTTAAGTTATTTAAAATTTAGTTTTAAAGCGTATATTTTTCTAGATTTTAACAAGTAGCCTTTGACATTTAACGTCAAGTGATGTAAAACAAAAGATCTGACCATGTCGTATTGTGACACTTTGTTCAAAAAGAAGTATGTTATCGATCATCATTTGCAAGCCAACTTTGTGTTTTTTTTTCAGGGTTGATACAGTACATTATTAATATAATTAATAATATCAACTATTAGATATTACTAAGGACCGAAAATACGAGATATATTTTTTAAATACACTTTTTAAACTTTTAAGCAACAATATTTACAATATAGGAAATTCAAATAATTTGTTTTCTGACAGATGGCAATAAATCGTCTGACTTTTTGACACTGATTAATGTCAAAGGAAGCTAGATAAAATCAAGAAAAATATACGTTTTCAAATTAAACTTAAATAACTTAAAAACGATTTATTATTGGTATAGGAACATGTATAATTAAAAAGTAACAAATTGTAAAATCTTTTCACTAGTGAAATAAAAAAAGTTGGTTTCCATTTGAAAAAAAATGATTTATGATAACTTTTTAATCACTCAATTCCATGACAGCTACCGCCATTATCATATGACATTTGAACAATTTAATTTTTGAAATAGATAGCTATATGTCTTCTCGTTATGTCACAGTAGCTGTAGCAATCACTAAATTTGACTTTTAGGCTTAGGCTATACAATTTTTTTGACAGGTAGTTTTTTTCATCCAACAATTTTAAATATTTTTTTTTCTCAAAAACGGTTAATGTTAGATATAGAGTGTTTAACATCAATATTCATGGAATTTTACAGAGAATGTAAGTATGTAATAAAAAATAGGGGCGGTTATTTAAAATAAGAAAGTTGTAGTCAACTTCTGGTATTTCCGAAAGTGCCGCCATATTGAAAATATTTTTAATCGATAGATTTCGTTGTCAAACAATGATGTGCAAAAAATCTCCGACTTAGATATTGTGGTTCTCTAGAAACTTCTAATGCACGCTCAACCTGGGACACCCTGTATACATAATGTTATTTTTGGAATGGAAAATTTATATGAAATGCACTGAACGAAGGAAGATATACGGTATTTCATTTAAAGTAGTAGACTTGATATAAATTTATCGACACAGAGGGTTACCGATTAGCAATGTCACTGTCTTGGAAAAGTAAATATGCTATAAAATGTAGTATATTCTTGTTTGCAACATTGACCTACATTTCATTGAAAATTAATCATCATTGCACAGGGTGGCTGAGTTTTTAAAGTTTTTCTTGGGTTGTCGCATCGACAAATCGCATCAGCGATTAGTGAGTATGGAACTTTAAGATTTCATGCAACAATTCTAAACTTTCAAGAGTACACTTTTAATAAATTTATGAAAAACTAAAGCCGAGGGTCCACGGTGCGACTATTTTGTGCGACTAATCAGTTTCCAACTAAAATTATGAAACTGCTGCACGCACACGGATGCAACTCATTCTGAATTTGTTTCAATCACTTTAATTAAAAAAAATACAATGTCAAATTGCGAATATTGAAAATTAGATGATGAAGACCTCAATAATTATCATAAATACCACAGGACAACGCAAGATTCATAGAGAGTACTGGGTTCATCCATATCCATACATGGCTTTCTCTATTACGTCTTTCTTGGAGTACCGCAGAAAATTTACAATTATAGAGTTCTTGGTATTTCTCAACCTCTCTAGTCCAGTCATAGTCGAAATAGGGTAGGAATCTCGGAATTCAAGATAACCGGCTGTAAACTCGTATAAACCTTTATCCTAAAACATGTCTCAAAACCTAAATATGATAGCGTGTGCGCGACTTGTAGATAACCGAGGTCAAAGGTCAAAAAATCGATTTTTTGTGAATTTTTTGCAAATTTTACATTTACGCTATTTGTATTTATTATAAATATTGTAGAGGATCAAATTCTCTACAACTTTTGTTTCAAAAAGTTTTTTGTACCTCAAACCGTTTTTGAGATCGAGGGCAGTAAGCGCGCAGTCTTTCTTTATGTACGATATCATTCAATTTCAACCTGTAGTCTCGGTCAAAACACGCCGTATAAAGTCCGTTAGGTATTGAAAAATATATAATTATAAATAATTTAGATTTTTTCATAAAAGATCATATGAATATAATAATGTTTTTCATAAATTAAGTATATCTTCATTTAATTACACTTACCTCTTTGTGCAATTAGAAAATTGTTAACAGAAATACTTTAATTATATTTTAATTATAGTTAGATTTATACTAATTACATTTTAAGTAAATAAAAAGACAAGAAATACATTTTTAATTTATATGTCTATTAAAAAATACGATTTCATACATTTCTCATGATTGAAATTAAAGAAATTGAATAAAAATAACCAGAACTCCATGTTCTTATTTTTAATTTTCTTCTTCTTCTTTATCATCGTCGTCTGGTCGTTGTGGAATTTCAAATTCTTCTTCATTTTCATCTTCAACGACATTTGTCTCCAAGTCTTCTAGGATTTCGGGGTCAAATGTACCATCTTCATTGACATCACTCTGATAGGGTGAAGCATTGAGACAAGCTTGTCCATTACACTGGCCACAAGCTAAAGAGCACGGCAACCCTGATTTCCTGCATCCACATCGCGAACCACAGCCATTCTTGCAGTTACAGAATATTGTGTTCAGCAAATTTTCTGGAGCTGGAGGTAGAATAGTAGTGGTAGGTTCCAGGAACCCATTACGCATTATCCAATCCCAGTTCTGGGGTTC